GATAACCCTAGAATCGATGTAGAACAAGAATCGATGTAGAACAAGAATCGATGAGTGAAATCAAACCAGAATCGATGTTTCTTGAGGAGACGGATGAGTGAAATCAAACCAGAATCGATGTAGAACAAGGAGTCTGAGATGATTGCAAGCATCTCCGATGAACACGGGATGAACACTGGAGGTAGACGATGAACATTGGATGAACACTGGAGGTACACGATGAACACGAGAGAAAATAGGGTTGGATGACCTTTTTGGTAATTTTACATCTATAAGCAAAATTTGCCAAACACTAAAAAACAACTTATCAGCTTATTGCAGTTTGGTACCGCTATAAGCTAATCCAAACACTTTTTACAAAACTCCAGTTTAATACCGCATAAGTTAATAAACACTTTTACAAAAAAACATAAGTTGTTTTAAATAAGCTTACCCAAACACCCCCTAAGTTTTTTTTCTGGCTACTTTTAATTGGCTGGGGGTAAAATGGGTATTTGAAAATTCAGTGCTCAGACCCAATATCTACTACCCGGTGTGGGGTTTAAAGCCACATCTTGTCCTCCGGCAACCAATCCACGAACAGTCGTCGCCGGCGGTGATTCCTACTTTTCCGATCAAATGTTCGGTTCTTCATCGAGGCTATTTCTCTTAAACGGTCCTCTCTCTCTTCTCCACCACCGACCGTCGACTCTCCTCCGCTTACCTCACCGCCACACTCTTACTTGTCTACCTCAGCCCCTCTCCACCGTCCCTCACTGCCACCTCCTTCAATCTCGCGCTAATTCACATTTTCTGATCAAATCTTCTCAACAGCTTCACTCTCAATCCACCGGTAATACTCTGCAAGACGAAAATCATGTTCCTGCCGACGCTAATCTCGTTCCACCGTCGCATCCATGGCCGGAGTTGTTGGAATTTCTAGAATCTATATCTAACTCCTGTTACTACGAGTTAAGTAGGAACATGAAGGATGAATTCGTGCCGAATGAGAGTCTACCGATGGAATTTGTGGATGCTGCGTGTTCCTGTTTGGGTTTTGCACATGATAGATCTGATATTTTAGGGTTTGTATTCCTCTGTTCTCTATACTTATCTCTTTGATATGTTCTTCTTTGCCCCAAATTCAAATTTGATAATTCTTCTGTATGTTGTACTTCCATGCTTACACCATTTATATTTGTTGGTGATTTTAGTGAAATTATAGTTGAATTTTATGTAATCGTATTAGAAAGATAATACTGTGTTGGTGGTTAAGCTATAGCTAGAGGTATTGAGTGTGCACTCTCGTAGGGGTTATTTGTTAGCAGCTTAAGGTGCTTATTGGGACTAGTAACTTATTCGGTTAACTATTCATGACCCTTTGTAGTGATTTAGTGATATAGAAAATGGCTTATTTAGTAGGTTTAGGAGGGAAATTTTATGCAAGAAGGGAAGGTTTTTTTTTTCAAATCAGTCCCTACCAATTAAAAAACAAGCTTCCTCATCTATAACAAGACCCTCCGAAACAAAAACCTTTTCAATTCATAAAGACAACTTTATCCTACAAAACTTAGATAAAAAACCAACCAAACAGCCCCTAAGCTGAGTTGAACCCTGGATTGCTGGATGAAGTCAAATCAAATGGGGCGCGCCCCTGGCGGTGGTTAGGAAATGGGAAAATTGAGATTCTGGATGTTCTAAGTGAAATTCAGGAGCTCTTGCTCAGAAACTTCCGATTCTAAAGTGATTTTGACTCGGACAAAGCCTGAAACTCTGAAGCTCTCCATTCAATGGGGAGATAGTTTGGGCGTTAATTTAAGAACAGTTACGACTATTTCTGCCAAAATCAGAACTTAGATTTGAGATTATCCTCAAGTTGATTTTGTGATACCAGGCAAATTAGGGTCAACGTGGATTTATACACTCGGTTTCTCTGTATCTTGTGGAATTACTGCAACGTGGATTTTATGTTGTATTTTGATCCTAATTTGTCTAGTATCACGAAATCAACTCGAGGATTATCTCAAATGTCAGTCCAATATGGAATTTATGTAGGCGGAAATAATGACTGATGAGTTCTTAGGAAGGATGAGATAAACCCTAAATTTGTTTTCCCTTTATAAACCCTAAATCTGTTTTCCCTTTATAAACCCTAAATATGTGCCGTTTCTCAATGAATTGTTTGTATGATTTATGTGTTCAGGTGGCTTCCTAAGGATGATATCCAGGTGCTTATAGATGGTGGTGCTCCATTTCTCTTCAAAAATGCTCTTGAAACTGAGAGAAGAATGAAATCTTTCTTACAGGTTTGTTTTTGCATGCTTCATTTGAGCATACATCTATACTGAGAAAATAATTTTTATAGGAGGCCAAATATTTATAGGGAAATTGATCAAATTAGCCATTTAGACGAACATCTTCACTTTTAGCCCAATAGTAATAGCCAAGATTTTGCAAGTGTCTCTTCCACAACTTGCTAAATGTACTTTTTATGAATAAAATATGATTATGGTGGGTCATTTTGCATTTTGCAAGCTAATAAGGAAATTTCTCAAGCCAAAAGAACATTTCGCAATCCGTCACCCCTATTCTACAAGCTGTCGGCCCATTTCGCTAGCCGACCCCACCAGAATCATATTTAATTTAGAAAAAGTACATTTCACAAGTTGGGAAAAGGAAACGTGCGAAATCTTTGCTATTTTGTTCAAATTGAAAAAAAGTTAGTTAAAAAATGAAGATGTTAGTCCAAAATGGCTAGTTTTATCAATTTGGTGTATATATATTTCCGCAATTCCGCCTCGGGGCTTACGCCTTGCCTCGTTGAGGGAAAAACGCCTCGAGTCCCGATTCCGCCTTTTGAAACCTTGATTAAGATGGGACATTCATAAGTAAATTTGTTGTAATTTTCATGGATCGTAAACTACATAGAGTTATTATTCATTTATATCTCAATTGTTTGTTATCTAATTTGCTTCGAAACAACTGAAGGGGGAGGACTCAAATGATGTAAGAATGGTGGATTTGATGAAGTACATATTGAGTTATGCAAGCAATCCTATTATTTATCCTGAAAGGAACATTAGGGAGGCTACTGAATCATCTGCCCGGAATTTGTTAAGAGAGATGACTAATTTTAGCTGTAAGGGGGCTGCTTTGAGCTTGCCCGATATGGAGAAATTTAATGGGGCTTTTCGGGCAGAGGAGGATGAAGAAGCACCAAGAAATCTTGAACCATACAATAAGATGAAGAGAGGTGATTGGATATGCCCAAAGTAAGTTGCATTTCTTGTTATGCTTCGTTATTCTTCGCTTTTAGGGTGCGTTTTGTATGCAGACAAGATGGGACAAGATTAGATAGTGTGAGGTAGGCAGGTGAAAGATTTTTGCAAGGTTTTAGAGTTTTAATTTGCTATGGGTAGTTTAGTAATTTACTAATCTTGTCCCATCTCCCATATTTTAGTATTTTTGTCCCACTCAGTTAGGTATTCTCTGCCACGGTCTTAGAGCATCTTCAACAGATTCTCTAAAATATAAAAAAATGGAGATTTTGTTCTCTATTTTACTCCAACAGATTCTCTATATTGTTCTCTATAATAGATAAAACTCCAAGTTCAGAGAATTCTCTATAACTTAATATTCAGGAGAGGGATGATTTTTTAATTCTTTTTCACCAATGAGATTGAATGTATTATTATTTTATACTCTCTGCCTCAAAATAAATGTCCACAATGAAAATGCAACAATTTTAGGAATGTGCAATTATTACACTTTAAATAACTAAATGACACTTTTACCCTTGATAATAGAGAGGAAACTTTCTCCATATCATAATCAAGGGTAAAATGGGAAATTGGAAACTTTGTTTTGAAAGTGGACACTTATTCTAGGACAAACTACAATAGTAACGTGTACACTTAACTTGGGATGGAGGGAGCATAAAGTTTTTTTGTAAGTGTATTGGGATGATAATTTATAGAATATTTGAATAATATAACTAATGTTGAAATCTCCAAAATAGAGAGGCTGTTGGGTTGACGGTAATTTTGTTTAAAGATTTTAACTTTTGGTTTTCTGTATTAAAAACTTATAGAGAATCTGTTAGAGATGCTCTTAATGTCATGCGAAATGGTTGACAAGTTTTTATTATGTCCCACGTACCGAACACACCCTTAGATCTATTTCAAGGCCACCCCCTCGTTCTGGAAAGGGAAAGTTGCAAGCTTAATGTATGTTAATGAAATTGTTGAAGATTTTCTCAAACAGGTGCAGTTTCATGAATTTTGCAAAGAATACCGAATGCCTTGAATGCATGGAGTTGAGACCACGGAGACAATTAACTGGTTGCGAGTGGGATTGCCCTCGGTAAGCATTGCTTCCATCCACTCTACATTTGCTATTCTTTTAAGTATATAATAATATTTATATATGGCATAACTCAGACACTCCTAGGGATGGCAAAAATCTTTGTACCGATACTTGAACCCGATTTGACCATGGAAGGGGAATCCCCGAATTTGTTAACTGGGATGGGGCTGGGAATGGGGAGACCCCTCAAACCCGACCCCGAGCCTAAGTATTTAATAATAAGTTTCTACATATAGTATATAGACGAAGGATCGTGTGAGAATAGGAGTCGAGATGAGAAGCATAGGAAGGGATCTAGACCCTTCATCACTTTTAATCTCACCCCACCCCATGAATTGCGCTTGATACAGAAACTGATCTGGTGCATCTCGGTGTACTGCATTATTGTTGATCTTCAATTGGGATTGATCCAAGTGTGGGGATCCTTTCTTACCCTTCTCACTATATATATATATATATAGCCATAGGTTTTTTTGAGAAGTGGTAAATGTTTGAGAAGTAAAAAAGTGATCCTAGTCCTTCATACGGTCAAGATCGGATTTGATTGGTCAAGAATTGCGGCTTTGACCGGTCAAAATTTGCGGCTATGCGAAAAATAGAGGGGGTAGTTTCGTAAGATTTACAAATAGGCGGCAAACGGGTTCATATGTGAACCTGTATGATTCACATATGAACTATATGTTCATATATGATCATGTGTAATTCACATATGAACTAATTAATTAATTCGAATATGAACCCGTGTGATTCACATTTTGAATTTATGTGAATCAATTAAATAGTTCACATGTGAACGAATTAACGGGTTCATATATTAACATATAGTTCACATGTGAATCACGCAGGTTCACATATGAACCCGTTTGCTGCCTATTTGTAAAAGTTACGAAACTACCTCTCTATCTTTCACATACCCACAAGAGGAATTATCCGGTGCTTCACAGTCAAAGTCGCAAATGTTGACCAGATGAATGGCTAGGATCACTTCTTTACTTCTCAAATACCTGCCACTTCTCAAATGAACTCTTCCCTATATATATATATATATATTTGTGTGTGTGTGTATAATATAATAAAAATGACAAACCCAAGTAGTATATATAACACATAAATATAATAGAGATATAAAAAATCTTCGATGATGAGAGAATTTTTTAGGAGAAACTTTTGGTGGTATAACAACAGTTAATGTTTAAAATTTCAATTATTAAGTATGGGAATTGATATATTTATTTTTTAAACTACTCTTATACAAATCCAACAATTAAATTTTGATTAATTGAAGTTTTAGAATAATAGGTCTTAAAGGTGAAAATTGGCATTTACAAAGATATTATAGAAAAAATTAGATTTTGTAAACGGAAAAAAAATCCCTTATTCCCTGTTGGGGATGGGAAGTGGGGAACGGGGATGGTGATCCCCGGCATCTCCAACCCCGTTGCCATCTCTAAACAGAGAGGCGGACCCGGAAATTTTTTCTAAGTGGTGGCAAAACTTTGACTATAAAAAAATACAAATTTTTTTTCACGATATTAGTACAGATCTGTTGGTTGATTGGCTCTTTGTCCTTACATAGAAGAAACCTATGTTCGAGTCCTAACTATATATATTTTTAAAAACACGAGGTATATAAAATAAACCAACAAATTTGACAACAGTGGGACTCGAACCCAAGCCTTTTGTACAAAGGCGAACACGTTTACTATCTTAGCTATTAAAATCTTGTGCTAACATTTTAGTTTCAAAAACCATGCGGTGGCACCCTTAAAAAAAGTAATTTTCCCTCCTTACGCCGGAACCATGCGTGCCACTGTATCATTCCATGTGGGTCCGCCCTTGGGCTCGAGCCTTTGACCTCTAAGCTGTTAGGATCTACCAGTAACCCGAATACTGCTGAACCAATGATTATGTGGTTACGTTTGCTACTTGCTAAAATTGGTATTGCAAATATTCATAATATTGAAGTTTTGAGGTTACTTCCCTATCCAGATGTAATTTCTATAATCACGGAAGGAACATGGCGTGCTTAAAATGCGAGTGTGGGCGACCAGGTGAGGTTCCGTTGCCCATCGGGCAGTCGATGAATTCTCAAAATCAGAACAATTTTAGCTATAATCGCACTGCCGATAGTAACGACAGTCTTCCGGGCACAAACAAGAATCTAGAGGCATCGTTCATCGGCAGTCTAGACCAGTTCCGTAGCAACACGTCAACTGTTTCAGGAATAGATCGTAAAAGCAGTCCCGGTGGACAAGATGCCGGAAAAGAGGGCAGATTTCCGATTCCAAATGGACGTAATTCCGGTTATGCCCCTTTTGTGCCATTACTGGCTGATATGTTTGCCGAAAAGTCTGAAAACGTGAAACCGAAAAATACTGGTTTTGTGAGCGATTCTGAAAACTTGGGTAGGAAGGTCGAAAGTAGGAGTAAAGATACGCCTGAAGACGAGAAATCGGGTAGATGGTTCAAGAAGGTGGTCGAAGGTCTTCCGGATGAGGATTTTCCAGAGATTATGCCGATGCGGAAAGGAGAGCACCGATTTGTGGTTTGCAAGAAGAAAGATCGATCGTTGACTTCTCCGAAACACCAACGACAACAGGCCATGGAGCAAGAAAGTAACAGCAAGTTTGTTCCTTTTGTTCCGTTTCCACCAGATTATTTCGCTAAGAAAGACGACAAGCAGCAGTTGAAGAGCACGATGAAACCGACAGATACGAATCTCGTTCAAGAAACACGACATCATGAGATGAGCAGCAAAGATTTCTTGAATTCAAGATCGTCTGTTGACGATAAAGGTGCATCTAATGGTAATGAAACGGCAAATTCATCGAGAACCCATGTTAATAGAAGTGAAACCGTACCTGAAACTGCATACGGTGGTCGGAAAACGCCAGAAATCCAGGTGAGAAGTGGAGGTGAACCTAGTGGCAATCAAACGGAAAATTCATCGAGTACCGAGATGAACGGAAGTGAAACTACACCCGGAACTTCATACGGTGGTCAGAAAACGCCAGAAATCCAGGTCGTCAGAAATGGAAGTGAATCTATCGGCTATCAAACGGAGAATTCATCGAGTACCCAGATGAATAGAAGTGAAACTACTGAAACTTCATATGGCGGTCGGAAAACGCCAGAAATTCAGAAGGTGAGAAATAAAGGTGAATCTAGCAGCAATCAAACGGAAAATTCATCGAGCACTCAGATGAACAGAAGTGAAATTACACCCGGAACTTCATACGGTGGTCGGAAAACACCAGAAGTCGAGAAAGTGAGAAACGCATGGGAAGGAAAGAGTCTGGAGGGATCAGCAGTGAAGGAAACCGATCCTTTAGACATGTCGGAAGAGGCGAAAGCAGAAAGATGGTTCCGACGAGTTGCACAGATCAAAGATATCTCGGAACTGAGCCAAATTCCCGATGAAGATTTCCCGTCAATTATGCCGATGCGAAAAGGGGTGAATCGGTTCGTGGTGAGTAAGAGGAAAACGCCATTAGAAAGAAGGTTGACATCTCCCGAGTACAGAAAGAATCTGCGATCCGTGAGCTCGGACCCGACTAAAAAGGAACGCGATGATTATTAAATGGTATTTGTTTTTTGAGAGTTGCTGAAGTTATTTTTGTGAACGGTTTTTTAAAACTTAGCAGTAATTGTGTATATGATAATTGAGCCTAATGCTTGTTTCAAAGAGGTTTAACGTATATATTTGTTCACCGTTTACCAAATGCTTACTTGGGCAAGCACTTACCAAGTCATATTATCTTACCGGATAAATATGATAAGGACCAAGAATCTTATCCGGTAAGAGCGAGACAAGGACCAAGAGTCTTATCTGGTTAATGAGAACGACGACTCTTACCACGGTCCATGGTAAACGCTTACCGGATAAATTGTTGGATATGATGTCGTTTTGGTGGACTAAAATCTTACCCGACAAGTAAATGATAATGTTAAATTTTACCGGTAAGGGTTTACCGAGTAAGTGTTTGGTAAACGGCTAACAATTTTATGATTTTTTCGACATAAAAGGTAGCGGTTTATTGATTACCAGAATTGTTACAAATGGAATTTAGCTCATTCAACAACCAAATTAGAGATCCAACATCTGTGAAAGTTCGTGCTAAAGATCGTCCGCATATCTGATTTAGTATCCCATGGATTGACTACAATAAAAGTGATCGCTTTTTCGTAAAATACATATGTCCTCATTTGAACCCTGTCTTAAATATGACAATTACAATGCAAGTTTACTATGTTTTTTTTAATTGAGGAGTAAGTTGGAATCTTTTCGGTTTTCTGCAAAAAACTCCTGTCTAGAAGCTTACTGAATAAGCCATTTTTTATATCATTAAGTCACTATCAAACAGTCATGTATAACCGACTGAATAAGCTACGAGTCTTATTAAGCTTATTTAGTTGTTAACAAATAAACCATAAGTAGAGAGAAAGAATTACATCAAAGTTAGAAACAATATAAAAGGAAACGAGTTAATGATATAATCCCTTCAATGAAGATATGTAAAAATAGAAAAGAATTTGACCATTTTGGACAATATACAACTAAATTGTTCTTTTAGGTAACATTTGGTATTCAGACAAGATATAACTGAACATGATTGGACTAAATTGTTTGTCCTACGTTTGGTACAACTAAAACAGGACCAGACAAAATTGTTAAATTGACCAAATTGCCCCTAAATATTGTTTAATGTTATTTTACATAATTTAATAATTATATAATTGATCAAATAATAAAGCTGATACCAATAAAGTCTCACATAAACCTCACCATCATTCTTCTAAATAAGGGATGACTTTTTGATCATTGAATTGGGTTCCATTTACAAACCCAACATAATATGCAAATGCTAAAAATCTATAGTAATTGTGCTTTCTACTTTGTATAAGGGTAATATTGTAATCTCAAAGTTTAGTCTCATGTTGTTTTACCTTTTTTGATGGAATAAGAAAACTCAAAAACAGTGTCATGAAAACTCATTTTTGTCTCATGTTGTTCAACCTTATTTTTTGTCCTATGACATGTCAAACATGACACTATTTATTTTTATCCCGTCCCGTCCTGTCCCAAACGCACCCTTACTTGCAAACCAATCATCAATTTCGGAAAAACACCATAATTCACAACCATTTTTTATGTTGGATAAACATAAAGTAGATAGACATGGCAAACCAAGGGGTTGTTTATCAAACACTTATCGGGTGTCATTTACTTTGCTAGGTGAGCATGATAAGGAGCGAGAATTTTACCTGAAAAGGCATAGCTAGGACCGAGAATCTTACTCTATAAGTGAAAAAGAAGACTTTTAGCATTTACTGGGTCAGACGCTTATCAACAATCCATTTTGATTGCCAAGAATGTTACCCGATAAGATAAGTGAGTATGGTAACTCTTGTTAGTAAACACAAACACAGTAACCATCTGGTAAGAGACCCCTAGTTGCATGTTAACATCATCCGTAACTTGCATAACCAAACCAAACAACAACAGTATATCTAATTCAAAAGTAGGGTCAGATGGTATGAGATGTACGTAGATGCCCCCTAACCATCAGTTTCACAAAAACACCATAATTCATAACAGCAAAAAGAACCATAACGTTTGACGTTTAGTGTCGTAAGAAACGTAAAACGTACAAAACAGTAAAGGAAACTAGATGGTAAGGTAACAATGGTAAGCATAGTAGGTTACAGTAGGTTAATATCATCAGCAACTTACATAACCAAACCAAACAACAAACAATATATCTCATTCGAAAGTGCAATCAGAAGGATGAAATGTACGCAACCCGTCATTTTGCCATTGATTTCACAAAAGCACCATAATTCACAACCACAAAGGAATTTTGCATAACTTATAAGAACACAAATGCGAAAAAGAATCATTTACGTTTGACATTTTGTGTCGTGAGAAACGTAAAATAGATAAACAATAAGGTAGGATATAGTACGTTGATATCATTAGTAACTTATATAACCAAACCATATCAAACGAACAAATTAATTCAAAAATTAAGTCTAAAGGTAGGATGTATACAAACTTAACCTCTACTCCAAACTGTTTCCATGAATACGTCATCAATATCTTGCTTGCATGCAAGAAATATATATCATAAATGATATATATATATATATGTGTGTGTGTGTATTTATATATATAGGGTCAGTGTGCATGAGAAAACCGCAAAAAAATGAAAAACCGAGAAAAACCTTGGTAAACATTCTTCTGTACGGTATGCACATGTGCATACATGTAACTTGTAAACAATTTTTCTGGTGTGAACATGTGCATAGCATGCACTGCATAGAAACAAAGAAACAACTAAAGTTACTTGTAAGCACACGGATGTATATCGTATGGATGAATGGTTATCAGGGTGTTACTCAGTTGTTCATTTTTTAGGGGTTTTCCCTTAAACCTCCCCCCCCCCCTCTCTCTACATATATATGTATATATATAATACACATATATATAATATATCTTATCTAAAATAATTACAGACTAGACTACCCCCAAACAGTTTCCACAAATATGTTATCAGTATCTTGTATGCAACCATGCATGCAAGAAATACACACCATAAACCTACACTATGTGATATGTAAAAGTTACCCAAGATAGACTGAATAAATCCAAACCCAATGATCAGTTTCCCAGGTTGCACAGATAATACAAATAGAAACATCAATAACACCCCAAATCAGGCCCTAAAACTTAGCAAAGAAGTTTGAATTTTTCCGTTACACGATCACAACAAAAGATCCATGCATTAGAAAACAAACATATATAGGGTTTTTAACGTAACGGGCAGCCTTGATATATGATAACATACCAAAAGCAAACAGTACGTGCTAAAACCAAAATTCAATACTGAGGTAAAACAGAGTGTATATAGACAGAATATATTAATATATAACCGCTATTACAGACTAAGGGCGGGGATCAAGACCAAAGGAAGGGACCTAGAGCGATAAAAGAGTGTACGGGATAGGGTTAGTGAGTCTGTAGTTTGGTTACCAGAACCTGAAGTCAGAATTGGAGGTATAGTTACCAACACCTTGGCTTTGTTTTTTCTCTACTTGAATCTATTTAATATTGTTTCTTACTCGTATCTGTCTTTCTCTCTTTCTATTTGTATTGCTATTGTTTACTTGTATCTAGCTATTCAAATCTTAGCCTATCGTTGTTTTCACTTTCACACACTTCTCACTAGCTGGGTGTCTACACGAAAACAGCCGCTCTACCCTTTGGGGTAGAGGTCAGGTTTGCATACATGTTACCAACCCTTCCCCCCATCCCCCAAAAAAAAAACAAGACCCCCCCGAGTGGGATATACTAGGCTCGTTTAGTTTGGTTTATAGCATCCCTATTGCATGAACAACAATGAGTTTAAGTTCAACTTATAACATCTTCTTCTCAACACCAACCTCAGGTGTTCCAAAACTGGTAAAACTACGTATTTGGGTGAAAGTTCGTGGGTTCGTGTGATTAAAGAGAACAAGTAGCTTCAGTTACCAAACAGGGCAAGTATACTATACCTAGGAAGTCGAGATTGGGATCCCGTTGAACCAGCAGAAGCAACGGCTAAGGCATGGACAATAACATCTCCGGAGGTAGACCTTCCACTAAAATGGAGTCAGCACCATTACTGAAAAAAAGATACACAAGAGACAAGACTCTCGTCTGAAATAATAAAACTACCATTTTACAATTATGTTTGGCAAATGAAGTAAATTTCAAGATTGATTAACTACTTGCTGGATCATTCAGACAGAATGCTCCAATATACAACTTTATAGCAGAATGTTTCAATGATCTATATCATGCAAGCAAAAAAGATAATAAATGCATAGTGCCAACTTATTATTAGCTCCATACTCTACAAATTGTCAATTTCTGAAACTATATTATTAATCAAAACTAAAAGTTTAGAAGAAGCATAGCAATGGAGACCAAATTGAGGTTGAACCTCCATATTTTACATGTAAAACACTTTTCATATGACATTAAGAGCCTGTTAGTTAGCTGCTTAATAAGCTTAATGAGACTCATAGCTTATTCAGTCAGCTAAACATGACTTTTTGATAATGGCTTAATGATACAGTAAGTGGCTTATTCAGTAAGTTTCTAGGGGGGCTTAATGCCAAAAGCCAACCAAACAACTCCTAAGATCAATTAAAAGCAATGACTACTCAGATTGAAGGGTTCATTCGATATGAAGATGAGATTTCTGTCCAGCACAACACATCTGATGTTCACTCATGAGATCAGAAAAATAAACGACAAAAAACTTCAGATAACACAGGAAATATGGATCTTATAATAAAGCGTTAATCATGTCTATCATTGATGGATTTTTGGGGGTTATTTTTCCGGCAGAAAAATAGAATGAGATTGAGATATCACTTGCAAATTTGACCGTCAAAGCCGAAGTGCTGTGCAGATAAGGTCATCATTGGTGGGGGATTCAACTTCATCCAACGGCGGTGGCAGGTTTAAATCGAACTGTAGCGAGGGTTTCCTAGACGATGACGAAGCGATATCTCCCATATCACCTCCTTTGCCGTCTCCATCAACCACCACCGACGAAGATGAATCGCAATCGCTGTGACAGTCATCTGGCAGTACCGGAGGCGATCGAGGATGATGTCTCCGGGGAAACACGACCTCAGCCGTCGTCATAGGCCTGGGTCCACTGAAGGACTCTACAGTACTACTCATACTACTACAACACGGCCTCTGTGAAACGACAATTTGATGCTCCGCTTGATACGAATGATGATACATCCGGCTGTGCTGATGAAACAACGGATGATGATCATTACCGTTCTGTAGATTTAGAAACTCAGTAGTAACAGTTGATGCAAAATTGGTCTTCGCTTTAGCTCCTCGAAGGCTCCGAGCTGCGTTGTCGTAAGCACGAGCAGCTTCCTCGGCAGAATTGAAAGTGCCAAGCCAAATCCTAGCTTTCTTCCACGGATCTCTGATCTCCGCAGCAAACTTACCCCATGGTCTCTTCCTCACCCCTCTGAACCTAATTTCCGATCCAGATCCATTGATCACCGGCGCCGCCGGCGCCGCCGCCGCCGGTTTGCCTCTTCGCATAGCTGATCAAAATAAAATCACAAATCAAAAAAACAAAGTAACCGTTCAACCTCTTTCTCCCCGTTTCTGTAACTCATAATTTCTTCTTCTCAGCCATCAATGGCGTCTGGAGATGAAGGAGAATGATATAGCAAAAGGGTTTTCGTTCTGAGTCACGAATCGGTGCCAAGAACCCTAACTCGTCTCGATCCCCATTTTTCCCCCTTTTTCTGTTTCCATCGTTTCTCGAGTCTTTAATAAAATCGGGAATTGGGAAATAATCGAGGTAGTAAAAGACCAAAATACCCTTGGTGTTGGTTGTAAATTACTATATTTTTATTTTGAAAGCCATCCTCTCAAAATACCCCTGGTTTTGTTTGTAACGGTTTGACACATTTAACATTGTTTGGAATATTTAAATCGGATTGTTTGGGGGTTAATTTTATATGGGGGTTAATTTCATACCATCTATATCTATATCTATACAATATTATAAAATATTTGACAAAAATTCTTAAAAATCATTTTTTATGCATGAAATACTGTATATTGATATATATTACTTGAAATTCAATATTACAAGTAATTTTGCATAAATACAATTTATTAAAGCTTCATTTTTAAATTCGTGTAACTAACTGCAGATAAACATAATCAAATACATAATAAACATCTCATTTTAAATATAAAAAACCTAAAATATAATTAGGATAATTATTGAGTTCTTACGGAATACTTAATTATTATATTTATAAAATGTTATATTATTAAATCAAAAATAAATTGTTTCGTTATTAAACTTAAATTAAAGAAATTACATCAAAAAATGAGAACTTTTAAATAGTCAATTTGATACTAACATTGATATAAAAAAATTCAAACTTTATGATATCTTCAAATTTATATTTTATTCAAAAATAAAATCGTTATCGCTTTCTTAAAAACACATAAAATCGTATTATAACATCGATAGCAACAAATAATAAAATAAAACATTAAAATTGAGATCTATTTTATGCATTACGCGAGTACCCTTCTAGTATTATAAAATATTTGATAAAAATTCTTAAAAAACTATATTTTATGCATGAAGTATTGTTTATTGATGTGTGTTATTTAAAATTCAAGATTATAATCAAATTGTACGTAAGTACAACTTACTAAAGTTTCATGTTTGAATTTGTGTAACTATTGCAGATAAATAGTCAAATAAATGATAAATATCTCATTTTAAATATAAAAAATATAGAATATAATTAGAATAATCATTAATTTCTAACAAAGTACTTAATTCTTATATTTATAAAAAATTATATTGTTAAACCAAAAAATAAAATAAAAATGAATTAACGAAATATACAAAAAAAGAGAAATTTTCAATAGTTAGTTTGGTATTAATCTTATATTAAAATTTTATGATCTTCACATTTATATTTTATTCATAAATAAAAACATTATCGTTTTTTCAAAACCACATAAAAACTGAATTACAATATCGATTGAGACAAAAAAAAAACGAAATATTGATATCGAGATATATCTCGCGACATTGTGTGAGTAGCCTTCTAATACTTTATAATATGAACGATTGTGTAAGAATAAAATTTGGGGAGTGCTAATGGCACCCCTCAACAGAGGATGTTGAATGCTTGGAAATCATGCAATCTCAAAAATTGTAGAACATCAAATTGATTTAATAATGCATTATATTTAATTACCATTATTACTTAACATATATATATATATATATATAACATATAGAGAGATAGAATGTTTCAAATGCAACCCATCACATTTGTAAATCAATGCAACTCAATCAATTGAGATATTTATGGGAATGATGAGAGCTAATTTATTATGATGTGAATATTTATGAAAGATAACTAAGGTTCATTAATTATGATCAAAATTTTATATTATGAAACAATCAAAACTTTTATAAAGTCACGTATCCATCAAATTAAATGGACGGTTGAGATTGAGTTGTATTGGTTGTACAAATGTAAAGAATTGCATAATAACTTACACACATATATATAGAGAGAGAGAGGGGATGAGGTTTACTTTTCAAACCAAGTTATTTGTACAAACCGTATAAATTTCATTCAACCAATCATAATTTTTCATTTTGTTTATTTTTTTTGTAATTATGAGAAGTTGATTAATTATTTTTGTTGTAGAGGGTGTTAATCATGGATGTTATCATCTTTATTATTTTAATTTTTAAAAATTACATGAAACAGTTTCATTAAAATTTCATTAAGGATTATATGAAACAATTTCATAACCATATATGAAACAGCTTCATTATTATATGAAACAATTTCATAAGATTAAACAATTTAATGAAATTTTTTCATAAGATATAACAATGAAATCGATAGATGGGGGTGGTTTGCATTTGATCGATTATATATATATATATATACACACACACACACATACATACTAGAAGAGTACTCGCACAATGCAGCGAAATATATCTCGATTTTATTGTTTCTTTTTCTTTGTCTACTGATATAATACAGTTTTATATTGATGTTTTTATTTTTAAATAAAATATAAAAATTTAAGATATTGTAATTAAAATTATAAAAAAAAGATATCGATATTAACATCAAATTAACTATTTAAAAGTTCTAGTTTTTTGTGTATTTTTTTTAATTCATATTTTTTATTATAATTTAATTTAAGTATAATAATGAATCAATTTATTTTTGGTTTAATAATATAATTTTTCATAAGGATGATAATTAAGTATTATATTAGAACTCAACGATTATCCTAATTATATTTTAGTTTTTTTATATTTAAAATGAGATGTTTATCCAGTATTTGATTATGTTTATCTATAGTTAGTTACACGAATTCAAACATAAAGCTTTAATAAGTTGTATTTATGCATTATTTACTTGTAATATTGAATTTCAAGTAATATGCATCAATCATAAATTTTCATTTTGTTCATTTTTTTTGTAATTATGAGAGGTTGATTAACCATTTTATTGTGGAGGGTGTTAATCATAGATATTATCATATTCATTATTTTAATTTTAGAGAAATACATGAAACAGTTTCATTAAAATTTTATTAAATATTATATGAAACAATTTCATTAAATATTATATGAAACAATTTCATAACCATATATGAAACAAATTCATCAAAAAAATATTATATGAAACAATTTCAAGAAAAAATTTCATAAGATTAAACAATGAAATCGACGTATGAGGGTGGTTTGTACAAATGAATGTGGTTTTCATTTAATCGCTCCTCTATATATATATTACTATTTTAAGTTATATTACATAATTATTTTATACATATAATTTGTGCATGCATCCATATACATACATTATATATTAATGATATTATTATTATTATTATTATTATTATTATATACATAAGTATTAGTATTATAATTTTATCTTACTTATTTTGATATTTTTAAATTGTATAGTTTAAAGGTTATTTTTATAAAATTACTTGAAAAATGCAATCACTTTTATAAAAAGTAATATTTCAAATTTATTGGGTTATTTTAATATTTTTAAAATGATGTAATTAAAAGATTGCGAGTAAAATAATAAAGGAATTAATATCGTACAACTTACAGAGTCATAGTTATTTATAAAAAAAATCATCCGTGCATGTATTTTTTTAATAAATAAATCATCGAACTTTTAAAAATTGATTATTTTAATCATTTCAATCCAAAAAAATGGTACATATCATGGTTTGTTGTCTCGCATATCAAATAAGTGGGAAAACGATTTTTAATCTATTCAGATAGTTGTTTAATAAATATTTTTATAATACATAAGAATCTGATAATATTATTATTATTATATTAAATTTAATATGTAATTTAATAATATAAAAAGACTGTATTTTAATAAATAACTATTAAGTGGGAAAACGATTTTTATCTATTTTTTCATGCAATTTGCCCTAAAAATATAATTAATTTTAAAAAGTAGTAAAATAAAGAAATAAAGGCAAAAAGACCATAATGCCCTTGAGTTTAATAGAGAAAGTGGACGATTGTTAGTGTGAAGGACCAAATCCATAACAAACTCCATATATGAAGGGTTCTTTTATAATAAATAAAGTTAAGAGACCAAATTCATATTTTTTTAACATACCTTAGGGATCAAATATGTAATTTACTCTTTATAAAATTATCAAATTAAGGTGTCGTTTACCTAAATGCTTACCCGGTAAGTGCTTATCTATAGGAGTCAACACTATAATTTATTTTGATGAATAAGATTTTAGTACATCAAAACATATTGAATGCAACAATTTTCCGGATAGACGCTTGCTTACCTGGGTAAGAGTCACAATCTTCACTTACCAGGTAAGACTCTCCATCATTCTTATCACTCTTACCCAGTAAAATTCTTGGTCTTTATCATATTCATTCGATAAGAAAATTTATTCGATAATCACTTATAAATAAATGTTTAATAAACGACCCCTAAGTTTATTAATTTTTAATCAATATATTATGGGAATGGTGTGTGGACTGTGGAGTAGTATGGTCGCTTTCATAGCTTTATTACCTCTGAAGTCAAAATAAGACCAATAAGGGTAGATTCTAGGGTCAAAAAGGGTAACATCAACATGTGCAATTTTTTTCTTACTTTTGACCGTTATTATTTCAAATTTAAAAATATAATATAAATAAAATTTTCAAATATTAGTTTTCGATCTGTATTTGAATCTTAGAAGTCATTTACTAAACATTTATTTGAGTAAATGTTTACTGGTAAAATCCAACACTATCAATTACTTACTGGATAAAATTTTAGTTCACCAAAACAGTATCATATGCAACAATTTACCCGGTAAGTGTTAACCGTGATAAGAGTTATCGTCATCACTTACCGAGTAAGATTTTCAGTCATTGCTTTCGCTTTTACCGGGTAAGATTTGTGGTCCTTGACATATTGATTCAATAAGGTAATGTAACTTGGTAAACGCTTACTTAAGTAAGTGTTTGGATAACAACCCCCTTACTGGAAGGTCTATTAGAGATCAGAAATTTATTGAAAAATTCAGTATTTTAATAATGTTACAGAAGTCATTAAATTTGTTAAATATTTTACAAAATATATTTTTACACAGTTGAAATTGAGTAGATTTTTTACTAAAATAATGCCGTTCTTTTCTGAATGATGAATAAATAACGATTTTTACCCGGGTAACCGGTTGAAACATTAATCTGTTATCATGTTGATGTGTTATCCAACTCTGTATTATTTGTTGATGTGGTTAATGACATTGATTTTTTAATCTAAAATTAGTCTTTTTTTTAATCTAAAATTAGTTTTCAACTGGTTACTCGAGTACTTAAATATTTAAAACTTTACATCATCTTAGGTACCAAAAATGAAATTTTGAAAGTACATTACCCAAAATAAGAATCAAGTTAAAATACGTTACTTTTTCATGCAATTTGCCCTCTTTTGAATTATGAACTCGTGTAAAACCGAACCTATGATTTTCGTATGAAACGCCAAAACAACATATAAAGGAAATAGAGTGAAAACGAGGAGGAGACCGTGTGTTCTATAAGCTTTTTTGGAGGGAATATATCGTTTATGTTTTTTCTCGGATCTGATAAATAATGGATATGAAAAAAAAATCAGAATGAAAGTTATATCTTTGATGACAGAAATACCCACGTAAGAGGAAGTGAGAAAAACAATAATAACTTATATATTTGTAAGAGGGCAAATTGCATGAAAAAAGTAACGTACTTTAACTTGATTCATATTTTGAGTAACGTACTTTCAGAACTTCTATTTTGGTACCTAAGATGTAAAGTTTTAAACATTTAAGTAGACGGGTAACTGGTGAAACATTAACCGGTTACTATTCTGATGTGACGAGTGATGTGACATCCAACTCAGTATTATTTGCTATTCAACCCAATTTCATCTAATTACTCGCCACATCAGCATGGTAACCGGTTAATGTTTTAACGGGTTACCTGAGTACTTAAATGTTTAAAACTTTACATCTTAAGTACCAAAATAGAAGTTTTAAAAATACGTTACCTAAAATAGAAAACAAGTTAAAGTACATTACTCTTTCATACAATTTGCTCTTTGTAAAAATGACATTTTTTTTGTTTCTCTCCCAGTTCCGTAACATCAAAAATTGTTTTATCTGCATTTTTTTTCCTTCTCTCCTTATTACCGGTTTGACTCTCGTATAAGCTGTTTATCCAAACACTTAAAAATGTTTATTACTAACCACAAGGGTGGTGCCTGATTGGTTTGAGCTTGGTTCCAAATGTCAAAAGTACTAGGAGGTCTCAGGTTCAAATCCAAGGAAGAATAAAAATCCACTTGTGGCCACGGAGGTTCAAATGCAGTGACTTCAAGCTATCTGTAAAGCAGGTGGTCATCCTGGCATTAGTCGGCTCGTTTATCGGGTTGGATATCCATGTTAATAAAAAAAGTGCTTATTATTGTTGCCACACCGGAATAAGTCAATAAGTTGTTTTTTATAAACAATCCCAAACACCCCCTAAGAAGCAAGTAAATAACCCCTAAGAAACGCAAGTAGGAAGATCAAGAATTTTGATTTTTCTTTTTTCCGTTTCTTAAAAATAACTGATTGTTCTTTTATCAACCGCTTTTTAGTAAGATGGTATCTTCGTTAATTGTTCATTAACGTATTTCTGATTATACATTAGACGATACCGAATGTTGAATCATACTTACCAATATTCCGTTATCTAGCATTCTTCGTGTACAGTTATCAGCTCATTCGCGCTCAAATCTACTTACTAAAAAGACCCAAAACATGGTTCGTTATATTTTTGCAAAAAAATGTCATATTGGATTCAAACGGTATTGTGATTGGGGCTGTAAACGAACCGAATGAAACACGAACAAAGGCTCGTTCATGTTCGTTCGTTTTACCTAACCGAACAAGCAAACGAACACGAACAGTAAAGGAATGAAAATCTTTGTGTTCGTGTTCGTTCGCTTAGAAATCATGTGTGTACGTGTTCGTTTATGTTCGTTCGTTAACATGCTAAACGAACGTGAACATGAATGAACGAACATAAACGAACTGTGAAAAGTAAAAAAAGATGAAAATTTGAAATAAGACAAAATGATGATAAAATTTAAATCTAAATAGATTCTAAACAATTAAAACTTAAATAAACATTATTTAAATTCAAACTAACTAAATAAAATATTATATATTAAATTTATTATATAACCGAACGTAAATTAATGAACGAGATTCTTATTCATGTTCGTACGTTTTACTAAATGAACATAAAATTTTGTTCATGTTCGTTCATTTATTAAATAAACGAACGTAACCGAACTTCCCACCAAACGGTTCACGAACCATTCGCTGAACGTTTGTTTCGTTTACAAAACGACTCCCAGACTTGGTGGTGAAATAGGAACAAGTAAATTATATGGGCCAAAATCATTAAAAATTCAATAAATGCTCAGGGATCCCCCATTGGGTCCTCGTAGTTTCCCCGATTTTCGTTGGGGAACCCGTTAAGAGAAAAATTCCCCTCTTCCTGTTGATTTATCCGAATCCGAAACTCGAATCGATCTGAAATAAATTACAATATGTTAATTTTTACAATTAAAAGTATACAACAAACATATGATTTCAGGATTAAACAAATAAACTAGATTTTTTGTGAGCCTTTTAATAATTATATATATATATATATATATATACATATAAATTAAAATTAATATATATACACATATCGGGCCGGTGATCACCATTCCTGACCCCGTTAAAATCCCCGAATATGTCCCGATCCCCTCCCCGTCCCTGATAAAATGTCCCCAAACCCGCTTCGAAAGTTTCGGTATTCGTTTTCACCATCGGTTTTGTTTTTTTCTTTTTGTTGCCATCTCTAATTATAATTATGTTCTATCTAGTAAATTAAAAAAAATACGTCAATTAACTTGCCATAAAACGTACACCTTAAAATCATGGTTTATTTATTTTTTATTTTTTGATTAACCTGTATATCCAACCCGCTATGCGAGCCGACTAATCCCAGGGCAACCATCTGCTTTACAGATAGCCCGGAGTCACCGCATTTGAACCTCCGTGACTACAATGGAATTTTTATTCCTCTTTGGATTTAAATCTGAGACCTCCTGGTACTTTTGACCATTGAAGCCAAACTCAAACCAATCAGACACCACCCTTGTGGTTTAAATCGTGGTTTATTTGGTTCGTGAAATGGCATCTACGAAAGCCGAACCACGTCCATGCATCCAACATGGTCCAAAGTTTCTTCTTCGTAAAATGTGACGTATCCAAAGCTTAAATTCCATAATTTTTGTCGTAACTGGGCTTTTAAGTTAGACAATTAGTCGATTTGATATCTACAATGTTGCATAAGTCTCTTCGTAACCATCAAACAAGACTTCACATTTTTTTGTCATTGTGCATAAGTATCTAAGATCTAAGGCTTACTTAAACTCTCGTCACAACTTTTTATACGAAAAACGAAAAAAAATGGGCAAGATTGTTTGCGAGTTTTGGTTCTTTATCGTCACCATCGTCCTTGCCTTGCAACAATTTTGTGGTAAGTTATTTACTTATGTAGTTTTACATAGAGTAAATTGCATGAAAAAATAACGTACTTTAACTTGATTTCTATTTTAGGTAACGTATTTGCAAAACTTTTATTTTGGTACTTAAGATGTAAAGTTTTAAATATTTAAGTACCCGAGTAATCGGTTGAAGCGTTAACTTGTTATCATGCTGATGTGGTATCCAACTCAGTATTATTTGTTGACATCGTTAGTGACATGAATTTTTTTAATCTAACATTAGTTTTCAACCGATTACCCGAGTACTTAAATGTTTAAAGCTTTACATCTTAGGTACCAAAATGGAAGTTTGAAAGTATGTTACCAAAAACGAATCACGTTAAAGTACGTTACTTTTTCATGAAATTTTTTTTTAATCCAAAAAGAGATCGTTGCACAAAGATGGATCTTTACGTAAATTTATATAAGGATTCTTTTGATCTGAAAATCAAGTTTATACAAATGTTTTTCATATATTTACGTAAATTTATGGGTAAAATGGAAATTCAGTTGAAAATTTGGTAAAAAGTAAAATTTGGTGTGAAAATTCCCCCGTTTTAATAACAAAATCATGGTTTAGAGTTGTTTGTTTATATCTTAATAGTTTCATTAAAAAACAACCTTTGAATTGTTAAGAGGTGAATCTTGTTTGTCAAAACAAAAGTCTGTCTCTTAATGGTTACAAAAGCCCTGAATGATTTTGTATCATGAGTCTCCTTAACCATTCATCACTCTAATTCTATTGTAAATAATTACCGAACAATTATATTTCATTTTGTATTATATCATGAGAGCCTCTTAATTATTCTGATCATTAATTATTTTGCACAAAACCATTCAACAACTATCAAACAAGAAAAAAAATAAATTAACTAAAAAAGAAACTAAAATGATGAAAATTTTGTTTTTTTTAAGATGGAAAGGTGATGATGGAATACATCGGAGCAACTGGAAAACCGGTAACTTTCGACGGAATTCCGATCGAAGACGGCATCGATTTCCACTTCATTCTTAGTTTCGCCATAGACTCCGACGTCTCCGGCATCCCCCAAAATGGCAAGTTCACTCCCTACTGGTCATCATCGTTAACCGCCGATTCCGTCGCCGCCGTGAAATCCAAACACCCAAACGTCAAAGCTCTGGCGAGTCTCTCCGGTTGGAGTCTCGGTTCAACAACACTTCGTTGGTACAAACCACAAAACGCTCAAACCTGGATCTCAAACGCCTTCACTTCCATCAAATCCATCGTCGAAACCTACCATCTCGACGGAATCGACATCGATTACGAAAACTTTCCAAAACACAACGAAAGTTTCAGTTACTGCATCGGTGAACTCATAACCTACCTGAAGAATCAAAGCGTGATCTCCGTCGCGACGATCGCACCTTATCGTCTGACGACGATTCCTTACATTCAACTATTTGATGCATACGGCGACGTAATCGATTACGTGAATCATCAATTTTATACAGATAAAGTGAAGACGACGGAGGCGTACCTGGAAGATTTCCGGCTGAGGACGGAGGAATTCGACGGTAACAAGGTGTTGCCGAGCTACGAAGTGGATGGAAGAGGGATACAAGGAGATGCATTCTTCGATGCGTTGCAGGTTTTGGAAGAAAATGGATTTGAAATCAATGGAATTATGATATATTCAGCTGATGCTTCTGCTTCAACGAATTCAACCGCTAAGTTCTATTATGAACAGAAATCACAGGAGTTCTTGCTCAATTCTTCCAGGATTTGAGGTTCTTTTATTCTTTTTTCGAGATTAAAGTGTTGAAACAACAGTATTTTGAAGTTATACAGTTATAACTATGTATTTTGAGCTACTTTAATGGAGGACTAATCGGAGATCTTACGGTGGTGTTGATGATCGGCGTGATGTTAAGTCACCGGAAAATATAAAACATCGTAACATGTGCCGGTTATGAATTTTTAAAATTACGCTTTTAGTCCATATAGGAAAGGATACTCAAAAACATAGGACTCTAATGGGTTAGCCATACACTTCACATGTTTCCTGTGATTCACATGACATCATCAAATGATACAAGTCTTGGATAAGAATCTACAACGCACTAGAACGCCCTTGTTGACGACCGTTATAGTTACGGCCGCAGTTCACCGGGGCTTCGGTTGCCGGCTCCACTGGCATCAGGTTTCTTAGCTTCCACCAGCCATAATAAACTTCTGTTTACAATTTTTTTTTATTAACCTGGACATCCAATCCGTTATGCGAGCCGACTAATCTCCGGGCGGCCACTTGCTTTGCAGATAGCCTGGAGTCATCGCGTTTGAACCTCCATGGCCACAAGGGGATTTTTATTCCTCCTTGGATTTGAACCTAAGACTTCCTGGTACTTTTGACATTTGGAGTCAAGCTTAAACCAATCAGGCACCACCCTTGTGTTTCTGTTTAGAATCTTTTAACATGTATATATTGGTCATCATACACCTTGTTTCTCTTGGGATTGAAGTTCTTTTCCCTTTGAAATCATGCAAAGCCAATAAAACTCTTTGGTGATACCATAACTTTTACCATTTGAAGATTGAAGACCACACTTGCCACCTATGTAGGTCGTCCATTAACATGTTAAATGTGAGATTTTGAACATGATTCTCAAAATTTACACGTGTATAGGGTCTTTTATCGACCTGTATAAAACTATAGCCGAAATTATTTAGGTTCAAACCATCAATTGTTTGGTTTTAGGTTCAAATCATTAATGGTTTAGGTTTAGTTTCAAATTGTTAATCGTTTTAGGTTTATCTCATTTTTGTTCTTGACATATATTATCTGTTATCTCCTTTATACAATGTAATCAAAAGTTTTAGATGTAACAAGGCCTCCAAAAAGATTGGAACGTCCCTGCACCTATGTTCACAATTTAAGAACATGCAATGTGCTGTTTCTTCACATTATGTAGTAGAGATTTGGTGAAAATTTCTATCTTTATTGAAGTGTTAAGTAGAAATATAACTTTTGGAATTTAGATTTTAGATATTCTATAAATAGTTGAACATTTTTATAAACCATATCACTGCTAAAATCTTGCAATCTTCAGGGGAAGGAGAGTATTTATCTATATTATATTATAAAGTATTTGACAAAAACTCTTAAAAACCATTTTTTATGCATAAAGTACTGTTTATTTATGCATATTACTTAAAGTTCAAGATTACAAGTAAATTGTCCGTAAGTATAACTTGTTAAAGCTTTATATTTGAATTCATGTTACTAACTGCAGATAAACATAATCAAATAGAAGATAGACATCTTATTTTAAAATATAAAAAAAACTAAAATATAATTAGGATAATTATTGAGTTCTAACAAAATAATTAATTATTATCTTTA